GCTGTGTGACCCTGGATGAGTCACTTCTTTGAACCTCAGGTTCTTCATGGGTAAGTGTGGGATGATATGGCTGTGAAGAAGGAATGAGGCCAGGCATGGTGACTCATACCTGTAATTGCAGTGCTTCAGGAGTATGAGAGGGGAGGATCACTTGAGCCCAGGAGTTTGAGACTAGCCTGGGCAACATAGCGAGACCCCATCTCTACAAAACAACGTTTAAAAAATTAGCCGGGAGTGATGCATTGCATGCCTGTAGTCCTAGCTATGCGGGAGGCTGACGTGGAAGGATTATGGAGCTGGGAGGTTGAGGCTGCTGTGGGCGGAGATCACACCACTGCACTCCAGTCTGAGTGACAGAAAAAAAATGCAGGAATGAGAGAATCTTTGAAGAGAGCTGGTCACGGTGCCTGGCAATTAGGGGGCTCTCAATAAATGGGCCTGCTTTTCCTTTCTATTGGGACGAGTCCTAACATGTATGATCAATTACATTGTTTGCTGAGAACAATGGCGAGGAAAACCTGGCCAAACGCCCCACTCCCGCTGCCCCCCCGCCCCCCGCCGCCACCGAAAGTGGAAAACTGCTTGGGGCATTCTAAAGTAGCAAGACAGTATATGTATATCATACACTGGTGAAAACAATTCTGAAAGCGCAGGATATGTGACCTTGCCCCCGTGGCTCCCTCGTGGAGAATAACTTTCTGGTTTGTCTCTGACCAGTGGTAAGCAGGCACCAGCTGCCTACCTAGTTCATCTTGGGTCTATGAGAAAACACAGAACACCTGTTTACTAATAATGATCACCTGTTCAGAGAGACTAAACGCGTGGGTCAGTGTTTGCTTGAGGCTCTCAGCCCAGAATGCAGTCAGGCCCTGAGGCTGTCAGCTCAGAAGGCGGATGTCCCCCGATAGTCCCACTTTGCTGTCCTATTTGGGTGTCTGCTTCTCAGTGCCTTCGGCGCCGCCAGGGTGGGGTCTCTACGGCCGAGCCGGACTGGGTAGGTTCCTCCATTAGCTCTCAGACAACTCCCCTCCTGTGCTAAAAGGAAACTTTCAGGTACAAAAGTAGTTTCCAGGCAGGCATCAGAAGCTCAGGTTACCTGCAGGAGGGGCAACGCAGAGCCCACAACAAGGAGGGGGCTGCGGGGAAGCAAGGGACATATTTCTGGTGAGCTGGTGGCCCTTCTGGGCACCTCCCAAGTCATACCCCTTACTCGACTGTCCCTAGACACAAGGTTGATTATAGAATCGGAAAAGATTTGTTGCTCCAGTTTGTAAAAATAGTAGTGCCTGACTTGGAGAGTGGGGGACAAAGCAGCCAGATGACTTCCCCGAGAACGCTGAGCCCCCAGCCCAGCCTCCTGCCAGCCAGAGCTGCCGCCTCTGCCGCCCCAGCCCTCTCCATCCCCACAGCCTCCCTTCCCCCATCCCCTGAACATCTGGTTCCAATCTCCTCCAGATGTTGTGGCCAAGCTGTTTTATGGCCAATCACCTCAGCTCTGCTTCCTGAAGGCCTCCCTCCGCTTCAGGGAATGGACCCTCCTCGCCCCTTTCCTTGGGACCCCAGCCACCTCTTTCCTAACATGGAGAAGAGACACATACTGAAGCCGAATGAAACTGCTTAGCATCCTCGGCGCGGGCACCTCCTCTCCCTCCACTTTGTGGGATGCCCAAGGTTAAAAGGAAAGATGCTGGTCCGGGGGCAGAGGAATGGGAGGGAAGTGTGGGTGCACACCCGAGCAGAGGCGTTTCAGCTATGAGTTGAGTGTGTGTCAGGGACCAAGTGTGTGCCACCATGTATTTGTGTCAGGTACGTCTGTGTGTTTGTGCCTGTACATTGGAACCCTTCACCTGGAATCTAAAGCCTCCCCCTGTGGCCACCACCTCATTTTCCCTGGCTGCCTGCACTGTAGACAGAGCTAACTCGGGGCCCCTCAGCTGGACAGTGGCAGCTGTGGTTCAGGGTTGTCCTTCACCCTGGAGCTGTCTGTGGCCTTCTACGCTGTCCTCTAAATCCAGTCCAGAAAGGGTATGTGTGTGTGCGCACACTGCCATGAGCACCTCTCCCCTTCCACCAGATCAGAATAGACCCAGGGCCAGAAAAGACCCCAGGGCAGCCTCCAGTGGACCCTCTGACCCAGCTTTGTCTGACTGGTGCTTCAAGCAAGTCTGGCAGGGCTGGCTGCGTGCTGGGACTGGCCATCTGGACAGATGAAGCAGAAACGGAAGGCTCTCCTCTCTGAAGGAACACGCCTGGGGCTCCTCCCAACCCCACCTCCATTCTGCCTTCGTGCGCCACTATAAGGACTCTGCAATCTCTCCTCCCAAGAAACCCGAAAAGGTTCATAAAAAGAAGACTGGAGCCTGCCCCTCTGGAGGGCTCAAAGCCTCTCAGCTAGGGGTAGAGACTCCTGCGCAGGCCTGCCCTAAGGCAGAAAGGTGGATCCCCACCCACCCCATCCTCAGAATGCTGATTCCAAGTGCTGTCTATTACTCCCTTTGTTTTTCAAAAGTTGGGGTCTTGCTTTGCCACCCAAGCCAGAGTGCAATGGCATGGTCACAGCTTATTGCAGCCTTGAACTCCCTCAAGAGATCCTCCCACCGCAGCCTCCCAAGTAGCTAGGACTACAGGCACGTGATGCCATATCCAGCTCCGCTCCACTACGCCTTTAAAATAAGCTTCTATGCCATCTGTGATTCCATAGCCACCCCCAGTGATATTCTGGAACTAGGCACAGACTTGTTTAACTGGTGTGGTGGAAGGGACCCCCAGGGGTGTCACTGTGTCTGAAACAGGAGTGTCCGAGGTAGCCCCTGATATTCACAAGGGGAGACAGGAATAGGGGAGAAAATGGGAAGATTATGGTTTCTCAATCAAAGCCTGGGCACTGTCACTTGCTGGCTGTAACACATGGGCAAGGCTTTGTGCCTCAGTTTCTAACGTTAAGTGGGAATCATACTCCCCAGGACCATTGTGAAGACTAAAGAAGCTGATGTGTGTGACACCACCTGGGTGCCTGGTGCACAGTAGGCCCTTGGGAGCCGTTATCTGCCATTTCTGCTTTCCTTTTTACCCCAGAGGCTGTGCCCTGCGCACTGGATAACACATGTGAACATGGCCTTGAGTCGGGCAGTGTTGGTGAGGCCTTTGACTTCTCGAGAGCTTTTTTACTCCAGCAGAGGACTGTATCAATAAGTCCGCAACAATAGATGCAGGCCAGGTACAGTGACTCAAGCCTGTAATCCCAGCACTTTGGGAGGCAGTAGGATCATTAAGCCCAGGAGTTCGAGATCAGCCTAGGCAACACAGGGAAACTCCATCTCTACAGAATAAAAAATTTAAAAAATCCTAGCTGGGCATGATGGTGTACATGTGGTCCCAGCTACTCTGGAGGCTGAGGTGGGAGAATCACTTGGACCCCAGAGGTTGAGGCTGCAGTGAACCATGATCGTGCCACTGCACTCCAGTCTGGACAACAGAGGAAAACCCTGTCTCAAGAAATAAAAATAATGGACAGGCACAGTGGCTTGCTCACTCCTGTAATCCAGTCACTTTGGGAGGCTGTGGTAGGTGGATCACTTGAGGTCAGGAGTTCGAGACCAGCCTGGCCCACATCTCCATTAAAAATACAAAAGTTATTCAGGCATGGTGGCATGTACCTGTGTCCCAGTTACTTGGGAGGCTGAGGCAGGAGAATTGCTTGAACCTGGGAGGTGGAGGTTACACTGAGCTGAGATCATGTCACTGAACTCCAGCCTGGGTGACAGAGCAAGACTCCGTCTCAAAAATAATGATAAAGTAATAGATGCAGAGGTGACTGGGATCTCTAAATGGGAGCACTGTTGGGGAGCAGGTACACTCAGGTACTTCGAACAGGGACATTTGGTGGCATCTGGGTCTGGAGCAATGGCAAGCTGCTGTAGTATGAAGGCTCCAAACGGGGCCTCCAGATGCTGCAGGTCCTCTCCTAGGAGGCCCCATGTGGGAGGCCCTGGGTAGGACCAAAAGACTCCAAAGTTCCTTCCAAGCTGGAGACTCAGCTTTACACCCTGAGCCCCACCTCCCATAGTGGACAGGAAAATCCTTTGCAGCTGATTCCAGGTGGCCTGTCCTGGGGACATTCCCACTGGAGCTCCCCTGTGGATTGCAGAACTCATCCATGCCATCATCAGCCCAAAGAGATGGGATGCTATGCTCTGAATGTTTGTGCCCGCCCACCCACCCCCCTCAAATCCTAGGTTGAATTTTTTTTTTTTTTTTTTTTTTTTTTTTTGAGACGGGGTCTCACTCTGTCACCCAGGTTAGAGTGCAGTGGTGCAGTCTTGGCTCACTGCAGCCTCCCCCTCTTGTGTTCGAGCAATACTCCTGCTTCACCCTCCTGAGTAGCTGGGACTACAGGCCTGTACCACCACGCCCAGCTAATTTTGTAGTTTTAGTAGCAATGGGGTTTCACCATGTTGGGCAGGCTGGTCTTGAACTCCTGATCTCCAGTGATCCACCTGCCTCAGCCTCCCAAAGTGCTGAGATTATAGGCGTGAGCCACCGCCCCCAGCCCTAGGTGGAAATTCTAACCAGAAGATAATGGTTTTAGGAAGCAGGTCCTTGGAAGGTAATGAGGTCATGATGGTGGAGCCACATGAATGGGACTCATACCTTTTTGAAAGGGCCCAAGATGGCCTGGGGCAGTGGCTCAGACTTGTAATTCCAAGCATTTTGGGAGGCCTAGGTGGAAGGATCACTTGAGGCCAGCCTGGGCAATACCGTGAGACCACCCTACCCTCTCCCCACCCCACATCTCTACAAAAAAAGAAAGAGGCAAGAGAGCTTGCTCATTCGTTTGACCCTGTGAGGACATAGTGAAAAGAGCCACCTGTGAAGCAGGCCCTCACCAGATGCCGCTTCTGCCAGCACCTTGATCATAACCTCCTGAGTCTCCAGACTATGAGAAATGAATCTGCAGTTCGTGAGCCACCCAGTGTGGTATTTTGTGACAGCAGTTCAAATGGACTGAGACGAGCAGGGCCCTCAGGCCACGGTGGTTTATTGATGCACGTCGCAAGCACAGCACAGGCAGGCAGACCCCAGCCCTGAGGGGACATGAGGGCCAGGGAAGGGCAGCAGGCCACCCCGACAGCAATGCTGTCAGCCCAGGGGGAAGGAAAGGGCCTGGGGCCCTGTTCTCTCCTTCTCAACACCTCTCCCAGAACCTCCAGGCCTCCTGACCTATCCCAGAGAGACAGCTGGCCATGCAACTCCCCCTGACTACAGAGAGGTGACCGCTGTCCACCTGCCACTCTTGCCAGCCCGTCACTGCCTCCGTCCTTCATTACAGAAATCCAGCCGCTCATCCGTCATCTCTGTCACCTCTGAGAAAGTCACCGTGAGGCTGCACTCGCCTCCGCCTGATGGCACCTCCATCATCCCCCATGCAGCCCACTGCTGCCCTCAGCCACTCCCCCAGGCTCTTTCTGTTGGCTTTGCTGATCTTAGGGAGTCCACCCTCATGACCTGTGCGACAGTAGGAATGAGGCAAAAACACAAGGAGGCCCGAGAAGGACTTTGCCAAGAACTCCTCAGGGAGGGGCTCCCAGCCAGCAGCGTGGCAGGAGAGCAGACAGCGCCAGTGGGCAGGGGACAGGCAGAGTAGCAGAGAGTCCACAGTCCAGGTCACGCATGGGCACAGGACAGTCACGGCACCGGGGCAGAGCGAGTGAGCAAAGTGCACAGCTGGGCGGGGCGCCGGAGCCCGCGGGACAGCCTGCAGGTCTCTCGTTCCATGCCAGGCCCCCGCTGAGCGTTAGGCGGCCCACTCCCGGCTGAGGAAGGGGCACCTCTGGGTCTCAGGGGTCTTCTCCCCCTCCTCAACCCCAGTGGCTGCTGTCTCAGACCCCAGCGCTCTAAGCAAGGAGCAGGTATGCTGGGGTGTGGAAGGAAGGAAACGTCTGACAGCCTGAAGCCCCCCAAAGCCAAGAGAAAAAAAGAGTTCCTTTCTAGAGAGCAGGGGGGAGCATCCTGGTGGGCAGGTAGAGAAGGGGAGGGACAGCTCTCCCATGCAGGAAGAGGGTTCTTTGGGGCAAGGAGCAGCCAGGGCGTCACGGTGGTGCAGGAGACTATTTATAGGGGGAGGGGGTCCGGGCCTGGAGTGGGAAGCCCCAGAGACCCAGCTCAGCAGGGAGGGGGCATTCTGTGGTTGGCCCTGAGTGGGGTGAGTGCGACTGAGAAAGATCGCCCCACAGCTCTCTGCATCTCCTCTGGAGGCAGCCACGCTACACGTGGGCTTTGGCCCAGAGAGGCTTCCCTGGGAGAGCCCAGGAGGTGGGCGGGTCTTTGGGAGACAGAGACCTGGATGCGGCAAACAACAGTAGGACAAGGAAACCAGAGGAGAGGGGAAGTTCTCCGGAAATCCGGCCCAGCCGCCCACTACGGGGGCCGAGAAGCCTTTCCACGTCCGCCAGGCCGGGGGGTGGGCCACACTTACCAAGAGGACCACCATCGGTTGCCTCCAATGCCAAGGGGCGAGGGGAGGGCAGCTGGGCAGCGTGGAAGGAGCAGGGGGGCAGGAGAGAGAAAGCCAGCTCCCTGAACCTGGGCCACCCACCTTCACCTTGCGCTCATCTCTCCCTCGCCCCCCAGCTCCCCAGGAGTCCCTAGCGGCCCACGCTGATGTTGCAGGTCTTGCAGCTGGGGTCCTTCTTGGCGTCGGCAGTAGACAGGCTCATAAGCTGGTGCCCGCTGATCTCCCCAAGGGTGCCCAGGGACAGGTCGACGGGCTCGGTGTAGATGATCTCCAGGATGACGTCCTGGGCATGGCGGAAGACCAGCTCTCCGTCCTCCACGCTGCAGGTCAGGAACTTGTTGCAGGCAATGTCCAGGAGGGGCAGGCGGTCGCGGCAGAAGCGGTCCCCCAGGGAGCCTTTGGGCGCCAGCACCAGGATGGCGTAGTGGTAGGCCGTGTACATGCAGTAGAAGTCCGCAAAGTAGAGGTTGGTGCTGGGATTGAAGAGGCGCTGGGCCGGGATCTGGAAGCGCCAGCGGCCGTAGGGGGAGTCCTGCGGGGGCTGGCCCGTGTTGAACTCCGTGTTGCAGCTGAAGAAGACCCCGTGGAGCATGCCGCTGGTGGGGGAGCCGTGGCTGCCGCTGTTGTCTTTCAGGTAGGGCTGCAGCATGTTCCCGCAGTGGGTCCTGCCCACCCCAGGGAGACACGCCAAAGGGAAGAGAAGATGCGGCTGGTGAGCCGGGCTGAGGCTTGGCTGCTGCGTGTGATCGAGGAGGGAGGGAGCCAGCCCAGCTCCCAGCCCTCCCCCAGCCGCCTCCACTAGTCACAAATAGAACATTCCAGAATGCAAGAGCAGGGAGGGCCCTGGAGGGGGACTCATCCAGCCCACTCCTTCTCAGAGAAGAGATGTGAAGCTGTCACTCCCCAGCTTGAAACCCTTTGATGGGGGGTGTGTGAAAACCACAGCAGCTCATGATCTGATCTCTACATCCTGAGCTCGCCGATTCCCCTTGCCACTCCCCACCTCCTGCCACCCCACCCGTTTACCCACCCCCTGTGCACATGGTCTCCTGCCTCCTTCGTGCCCCTGTACAGGGCTCATCCTTCTGCTGCACTGACCGCCCTCCCCACCTTTCTCTGCCTGGCTTGACAAACTGATAATCAGCCTTCACGCCTCAGCCAAGTGTCTGCTCTCCTCTAAAACCTTCCTGAAAGAGCAGGCACTTGCACTTGACAAATATTTGGCTGCCTAGTATGTGCAGGACGCTAAAGCTTTCACTATGTTGCCCAGGCTGGACTTGAACTCCTGGCCTCAAGGGATCCTCCTGCTTTGGCCTCCCAAAGTGCTAGGATTGCAGGTGTGAGCCATCTCACCTGGCCAGGACACTAAATTGTGCTGAGCAATTACATGTAATTTTTACATGGACTATTTCCATACTGTCACTCTGATGGGATTCTGAGGTTCTCAAAAGGGTGGACTGTGCCTTTATCTTTACATCCTGGCACAATTAAGGTGCCTGGCACACATGGGTGCACCCTGTCTCTCCCATTCTCGCTGATAAAGGAGCCCAAACTGGGCCACTGACTCACTTTCCAGGCTGGGGTGCAGTGGTGCAATCACAGCTCGCTGCAAGCTTGAACTCCTGGGCTCAAGCCATCCACACCCGGCTAATTATTTAATTTTTTTTTTTGAGATGTCTCTCTCTCTCTCTCTCTCTCTCTCTCTCTCTCTCTCTCTCTCTCTCTCACCAGGCTGGAGTGCAGCGGCGCAATCTCAGCTCATTGCAATCTCCATCTCCTAGGTTCAAGGGATTCTCCTGCCTCACCCTCCCGAGTAGCTGGGACTACAGGTGCCCACCACCAGGCCTATAGCTAATTTTTTCTATTTTAGTAGAGACAGGGTTTCACCAGGTTGGCCAGGATAGTCTCAATCTCCTGACCTTGTGATCCACTTGCCTCGGTTTCCCAAAGTGCTGAGATTACAGGCGTGAGCCACCATGCCCGGACTAATTCTTTAAATTTTTTGTGGAGACCGGGGTCTTACTATGTTGTTCAGGCTGGTCTTGAACTCTTGGGCTCAATCAATCCCACCTTACCCTCCCAAAGTGCTGGGATTACAGGCGTGAGCCACCTAGCAGGCCTTGCTTCTTTAATACAAACCCCACAGACTCCTGAGATATAAACTGCCCTGACTGCAAGGATAAAGACTGGCAGAGGCCAGGTGCAGTGGCTCACACCTATAATCCGAGCACTTTGGGAGGCTAAGGAGGGCAGATCACCTGAGGTCAGGAGTTTGAGACCTGCCTGGCCAACATGGTGAAACCCCACGTCATTAAAAATACAAAAATTAGCCCGGCATGGTTGCGCACACCTGTGGTCCCAGCTACTTGGGAGGCTGAGGCGGGAGAATCACTTGAACCTGGGAGTTGGAGGTTGCAGTGAGTCGAGATGGCGCCATTGTACTCCAGCCTGGGTGATAGAGTGAGACTGCATCTCACAACAACAACAACAACAACAACAACAACCAGAGCAGCTGCTTGCCCTGGCTGAGCCTCAGAAGGATATGGGCACTTGCCAGTAGGTGTGGGAGGGTGGGTACTTCTGATCCTGCCTCACTCTTGCCTGGTCCTGGCTGTCCTCAGTGACAAGTGACTCCCTGGCTCAAATGAACAAGCCACTTCCCTGTGGGCCTCAGGCTCCTCTTCTGCAGGCAGAGGGTGTTGGATCAGGTCACCAATTTTCAGACACTTTTAGGCTACAGAACCTCTTTTTTTCCCCAAAAAGAAATTATACGTGGATGGGTCACAGGCAAGTCAAACAGGCTGCTCTGGCTGGACGTCAGGTGTGGGGCCCACAGAGCCTCATCCTCTGGTCCCCTCACCCCACAGCGGCATTCTAAGGGGTTCACTGAGATGTCTCCCTGGAGGGAGAACCCAGTTTGAAAACCACTGAGCTGGGTGCTTCCTAGCACGCTTCGTGCCCAGAACACCCTCATTTTGTGTGCTCCCTGCCACCTCCTCGTTGGTCCCAGGGCCTAAATCGGAGAGCTGGCTTGACCTGTGGTGGTAGACCCCCGGGAAAGGAGCTGTCCCAGAAGGGGAGCAAACCCAGACCTCATTCTCCCAGGCTCGTTAGTACGACACTCTTGGAGAAGACCCCACCCCCAGAGCCCTTGCTCTTCCCTGAGCCCAGTCCCCAAAGTAGCAGTCTCTTCAGAGCCAGGCTGGTGACGTCAGGGCATGTCAACCCTGGAGGAGGGACCGGCAGCCACGAGGGTGGGGTGACCTCAGACAGCTAGGGCAGGAGCAGGATGGGCCGGGAGGGAGGAGAGGCTGGCGGGTCCTGCTGGAGCCCGCGCCCGTACCTGGCGTGCTGGAAGTACTCCTTGTGATGGTTGCGGTAGAAGACGGAGAAGCGGAGCATGCGGCCTGCGATCTGCTCGGCCTTCTCCTGCAGCTGAGCGAGGTGCTCCTTGGCATAATCTGCAAGAGCCCAGACACAATGGGTGAGCTGAGGGCCAGCTGAGAAGCACAGCCACCTCCTCTCCCCACCCTACCCCACCCCATGCGTGCCGGCCAACCTCTGCCTGCCAGAGCAGCAGGAGCGACTAGACAGTCACAGAACCTTAAACTCAGATGGGGATAGGCCAGCTGGCCTCTGCTGGAAACAGGGGCGCTGCCTGCTGTGTGTCCTCATCACCTCTGCAACCACCTTGCCAGAGCCTTGGGGCTTTCCAGGTCAGAAAATGCAGGGGGCTGCCCAGTTATCCTGCCAGGGATCCCAGGAGCTGCGATCCCGTCCTCATGTGAAAAGAGGACTGGTAGGAAAGAGACTTGAGAGGGGAGGGCTTGAGGTCCTTTTGGGCGAGCCCCTGAAATCCAGTACATAGACTGCCCACACCACCCCCATGGAAGCCAGCTGTAGTTATAGGTGGGGGCTAGAGAGGGTCTCTGGAGAACTGAGCCTGGGCAATGTTTAGGCAGACCTTGGTCTGGAGCAGCAGCTCTCACCTTGAACATCTCAGGAGAAACGGAAGGCTGGAAACAGGATAGCATTGAACCCCTTGGGCCTGGGCTTGGGACCCTGGGGCCCCAGCAAGGCTGGTGCCGGCACATACAGCTCCTTGGTACAAATTAGAAGAAGGTGCCCTTCCCTGTGGATGCATCCCTGACCAGAGTGCTTGGTTTGGCGAGAGAAGTGTGGACTGGATTGCAGCCAGATCCCCAATATGAATTAAATGCCTACTGCACATGGAGGACTCAGGGGTAAACCAAGAAGCATTCCCCACCAGGAGCAAGAGGCCTCCAGAGAGTCGGGTTCTGCAGCAGAGCTAAGAAAAAGCACCACTCAGCCAGGCGTGGTGGCTCACGCCTGTGATCCCCAGCACTTTGGGAGGCCGAGGCAGATGATCACTTGAGCCCAGGAGTTTGAGTTCAGCCTGGCCAACATGGCAAACCCCATCTCTACAAAAAATACCAAAAATTAGCCAGGCATGATGGTATGTGCCTGTAGTTCTAGGTACTCAGAAGGCCAGGAAGCTGAGGAGAGATGATCACTTGGGCTCAGGGGAGAAGGTTGTTGAGGCTGCAGTGAGCCATCATCGTGCCACTGTACTCTAACCTGGGCAACAGAGCAAGACCCTGTCTCAAAACATAAGAAAGGCCAGGCATGGTGGCTCACCCCTGAATATTACTTTGAGTATTAAGATATTCAAAGTAATCTGAACACTTTGGGAGGCCAAGGTGGATCACCTGAGGGCAAGAGTTCAAGACTAGCCTGGCCAACATGTAAAACCCCATCTCTACTAAAAGTACAAGAAAATTAGCCAGGTGTGGTGGTGGGTGCCTGTAATCCCAGCTACTCAGGAGGCTGAGGCAGGAGAATCGCTTGAACCTGGGAGGCAGAGGTTGCAGTGAGCTGAGATCACACCACTGCACTCCACACTGGGTGACAAGGGTAAGACTCCATCTCAAAAAAAAAAAAAAAAAAAAAGGCAAAAGGAGAAAAAAAAAAGAAAAAGCACCAATCAAAAGACAACAGCAGCTCAAGGAGACTTGGGGCATAAATCTTGGCAAAGGATGGAGCCAGCAGCCTCAGAGGCCCCAGGCTGAGAATGTTCCCTGCCCCTTCCGTGTGACAGAGAGATCTGGAGCAGCTCTCACCGTGAACACCAAAAGAATGCAGTCTTGTGGGGGCAGAACCTGAGTCATGAGTGATAAAGCACACATAAGTCCGCTGTTTATGCTGGAGTCTGCAAGTTAAGTTCTGCTAAGAGTTTGCAGGGCCGTTGACCAAGGACCATTTTCCCAGGCTACACGGAGGCTCAGAACAAGTGAAATGTGATGGCTCCACCAAGTGCACGTTGACAGATAATTGATTAAACAGATGTAGTCTATCCATACAATGAAATACTATCCAGTTTTGAAAAGGAAGAAAATTTGGCTGGGTGCAATGGCTCAGGCCTGTAATCCCAGCACTTTGAGAGGCCGAGGCGGGTGGATCATGAGGTCGGGAGATTGAGACCATCCTGGCTAACACGGTGAAACCCTGTTTCTACTAAAAATGCAAAACATTGGCTCGGCATGGTTGTGCACGCCTGTAATCCCAGCTACTTGGGAAGCTGAGGCAGAATCGCTTGAACCAGGGAGGCAGAGGTTGCAGTGAGCTGAGATCGTGCCACTGCACACCAGCCTGGGTAGCAGAGCAAGACTGTCTCAAAAAAGAAAATTCTGTCATATTCCAGTCACAAAAAGACAAATCCTGTACAATTCTACTGATACGAGCTACCTAGAGGAGCCATATTCATAGAAACAGAAGGTAGAATGGCAGCTGCCGGGGGAAATGGGGGGTGGTTGCTTAATGGGTATAGAGTTTCGGTTTTCCGAGAAAAAAAGTTCGGGAGATTGATTGTGCAACATTGTGAATATACTTCATACCATTGAACTGCATGCTTCAAAATGTTCAGGATGGCAAATTTCACATCATGCACCTTTGACCACAGTGTTTAAAAAGATGCCTGTGATCTGGTACGAAACCAGAAAAGTAACTCCCTTTGTTGATGGAAGTCGTCTTGCCAATATGATTAGTGGGGTTCACATCTGCCTTTGGTGAGCAAAGAGAAGGGCCAGGCTCTTGGAGGCAGGGAGCGTGTCATGCCCGTGTGTCTCCCTGTGTGTGGCCCAAGCACGCTGCCTGGTGGACGGAAGGTGCTCATCAGTGTTTGCTGCACTATGAGGAAGCCCCGCCTTGAACACAGCTAAGCCCGACATACTAAGCAACAGGACAGGGGTGTGACAGTGGGACCTCACCCCCAGTGCAGAACTCCACCGTCTCGCTCCAGCCGGACACCAGGTACTCCCCGTCACTCTGCTTCACTGCTGTCTGCACAGCCACACTGTACTCCGTGCGGGGGCTCAGGAACCAGTGGCCTCTCACCGTCATGGGCAGTGGCACTGCCTTCGCCACGAGCTTGGTGGGGACATCCTGAGAAATAGGGTACAGACAGAGAGCCAGGCATTAAACTGGGGTTCATGCCTGATCTGGGCATCCCCCAAGACTCCCCTCTCCCCCCATGGCCCTGTTTCTCCTGAGCAGGACCAATCTTGGGGATCCGATGGCGCATACCCTGGCAACCATTTTCCCAGGAAGGCCACACAGACGCTCCCCAGCCTTGGCCCCTCCTCGAACCCCCCTGACACCCTGTTCTCTTGGGAACGGAGGGAAAAAGCCACAAAGTTGAGGGCGGCAAGGCCTTCATTTTTGAAGGAGACTTTGAGAGCTCTGCACACTGCAGTGCCGTCTCCACGGCAACGGAAATGCTGAGAAGCCAGGGAGGAAGGGAAAATATGCCTTATTCTTTGGCGGGGAGGGTTAAGGGGGTGGTGGTGAACATTCACGTCACCGTGGCAACTGGCCTGCCAAAAGACACCCAAATCGGGAGAAACGGTTCCAGAGAAAGAGAGCGGGTGAGTAACCCACGCCGGGGCCGTCGGCCTGGGAGCCAGCTGGCCACATCGCTCCCCTGCCTCTGCCAGCTTGAGAGGATGGGGGCTTCCTCCCACTCACCCCCACACTGGCTTTTAACCCCAGAAAAGGACACACCCACGGAGGACTCTCTCCCATTCCTTTTCTAAGCCAAGCAAATGGCAGGCCAGCAGGTGAGGGGCCTGAAGGGGAGAACTGAGGCCCGCGTGGCCCACCCAGCCAACAGCGAGGCTGTGCCCTGAGACGTCATCCCCATGGGCGATGCCTGCCGCCCCACCCCACCCGGGCTCTCTGCCCCTGCCTGAAGTCACAGTTGCAATCATGGCGCTGATAACAGCGCTCCCTCTGTGCTAGGCGCCGGGCCAAGCACCACGCAAACATGACTCACTGCATCCTCTCCACGACCCCGTGAGGCTTGGCATGGTTATTCCCTCTTCACCAGGGAAGGAGCTCAGGCTCAGAGAGGTCAAGTAACTTTCCCAGAATGACACAGGAAGAATGTGGGTGTTATCCAGGCCCCTGACTCCATCCCTTCCAAGTGTTCCCTTATTCGGCCTCCTTCAGGAACAGGTTCGGGGGGGAGGCTCCCAGGGCACCCTCTACTCACCCGGTGCTTGAACTTGTTGGAATTCTTATTCTCCTTCTTGTTGAGGTCAATGAAGTAGTGGGTGACCCTCTCCAGGTCACTGTCCTCCATGGCCCAGGAGATGCGGAAGGAGTCACAGGTGATGTTGTTGATTTCGATGCTGTGTGGTGTGGACAGCAGCTCCATGCTCCCAGGGTTGTCTCCTGTGGGGACTGAGGAGGAGGGGAGGGATCAGCACCTCCCATGCCCCCGGTGAGCTTTCTGGAATGTCCTCCTCCCAATATCCCTGGCAAGGCAGAACTTCAGGGACCCCTGGAATCCACCTGCCTCATGAGCAAGACGAAAAAGATTGCACCGGGGACATGAGAGGAGGATGGAAGGTGGAACGGGGTGCCCGCCCCAGGGGACTCTGCTGTCCTCGGAGGGGTCTGCAGAGCAGACGGCACCTGACAGGTGGCAGAGGCAGTGGGAACGCTGCAAAGCCGGGCGGGGACAGATTTGCAGCAGATGGAGCCGAGGAGGGAGGGGGCCCTCAGCCAGCAGGCGTGAAAAGAGAAAGGGGGTGGGGGTGGAGAGGCCGGGTGAGAGGCGGAGGAAACGCAGGAAGCACCTGCTGTGTCGTGGAGGTGCGAGGCTTGGGGCAGGTGACAGCCAAGAGCCCACAGGTGCCAGGGCCCTCGGACTCGGGCCCCTCTCCTTGCTGGGGGGACCACAGCAAGGGTCACCACGGTGCACGGCTGGGAGGACAAGTGCCACGTAGGTGCATGTGGACACGTTGTAGTGGGAGGGCCACACGGCACAGCCGGCTTCAAGCTCTTTTTCCACCCGTAACTTTTTTTTTTTTTTTGAAGATCCCTCTTTCTTTTTCGGCCGATCTTCTCTTGACTCGTTTCAATCATGACTTTTAACATCAGCAGCTACTGGGGGCCAACCATGTGCTCATAATTTCACAGACATCTCATGCAAGCCTGGCAATGGAGACACACTATCAGGGTCCCCATTTTACAGATGAGGCAATTGAGGTGGGGGAGGTGCTGAAGTGCCCAAGGCCCTGCATTGAGCAAACGATTTAACTCTGGTGCCCAAGTTCTTGATCATTAAGCTAAAGTCGTGTCCCCTCGTCTGTGGGGGTGGAGGGGCACACATATGGCACGTGTGCATGCCTGAGTGCCTGTGGTGTTTCCACCCTGTATTTTTCTTCCTTCTATCATTTCAAGCAACTGCATTTTCTCTCCCCTCCCTGTCCTGCTCCTTTGATTCTCTCCTTATGTCTGGTGCTCGTCTAGGCATGAGAGGACCTGACCATGGTTTCTCACATGTGCCTTAGCTGGGAAGAGCCGATTCTAGCCATGACTCTGGCCTGGCTGGCCTAAGTCTGGATGGGGAAGGGTGAAGGGGAGGGGAGCGACAGCGTCTGGGAGGGGACTGCAGATGTGAGTGGGGTGTTCTCCAGGGACATTTGGTCTCCTGATTTGCATCCCTTCCTCCATCCCAGCTCCTGGCCCCCCTCATTTTTCCCAGTGTCACCACTTCTTTCTCCCCTCTTTTTTCTCTTCCCCTTGCCCAGGAGCTAGGGGTGAGCGCATCTTGTGCCTGTGAAAGCAGGTACTTTTATTTATAGCTTCCAGAGGATCCAGCCCACACCTTCCTGTCAATTAAGCTTGCTCCAGAGCCTGGCACCTCTGTATTAACCTGTGAGTTGCCTGGGTGGCAGGTACAGGGTGAAGGCTAAGGATGGATGGCCCTTACCTGCCCCAGGTGTCACTCAAGTCCTCTTTCATTGTAGCATCCCACCCCAGAGCCAAATGCCAGTGGCTTTGTACATTGGGAATCCTATGGTAAAGAAGCATGGGGGTGCTACCAGGCCCACCCCAAAATCACACAGATGTGATTGGGTGCTGGAAACAGCCCTACCGTAATAAACCAGTTTAATTTGCAGGGACAGGCATGGAGCAGTGGGGAGTTACCATTTACTGGGCTCCTGGTGAGAAGCTCCGAGGGAGAGTCACACGTGCCCCTCATACCCACAAGCACCCACGCACACGCACCCACACAAACGAACATAGACACACTCCTACCCAAGAGGCCCTGAGTGGCACCCACCCACCCACTCTGTGAATGAGGCAGCCCGCACTCATCCCGTGAGCAGGCACCTAGCCCTGCCCCTCCTTGTAGTCCTCCTGGAAATAGAGGCAGCTGTGTTTGGTGGTGGGGGTCTCTAGGACTTGGGTGTCTGCCTGTCCCTTCCTCCCTACAGTTCTGGGAGAGCTGAGATGACATCCCCACCCTAGCTTGGGAGGGTGGCAGTGAGTGAGCTAGGGAGGACAGAGGGGTGGGTGTGAACCCAAGTTCTCTCCACCCAGAAAACTGGGGAAGGGCAGGGTGTGAGAGACACGTTGAGGCAACACCTGAGGAACACCCACACTCCCGTGTGGGTCCACCCCAAGACAGACATGTACACACCCACACACAGGCAGGCACACATGCACATACACACATGCGCCAAGAGAGCCCACCCACCTGTGTCCCACACCTCCGCAGATGTCTTTACTCCCACACACCCATCTACGCACTTAGGTGCCTCCCGCCACCGTCCACATTCTCAGAATGCCCCACAGTGTCCCCTCCGCAAGCTGTTGCCTCCATGCACACCCAGACATGTTCGCGTCCACAGGCTCACGCACGCACACGTCCATGCACACCTCCTCACAAGCCATATTTGGGGAAAAGAGGGTGCCACAGGCACCAACATGCATGCGTGCCACCTCAAGAAGGCACACAACCCACACGCCTGCCTGCACACACATGTGTGTTCACACACATGGCAGCCCCCGCCTGAAGTCTGGTATCCTCTCTCAAGTTACCTCCAGGCTCAAAGACACAGACTTTGAAAATGCATTTGCCTCTGGCCGCACTCTGCCAGCGCTGAGCCTTCATGCCAACAGGTTTGTGCACCTACGTGGTTCTGCCCACAGACAATGATTTCTGCCCCCTCTTCTCTCCACCTACCCCATCCTGCTCTGGGTCTCACCTCCCCACGCAGAAACCCCCCGTCTGCATACACTCCCACACACATGACAAGGAACATGGCCACCCCTAAATATACTGCCTCACAGTGCCCCCACCCACGCACAGCCACCGGCTACTCAGATAAGTCCCCCCACACACATGTACCTCACGTGTGCCAGAAAGCTATGTTCCTAGACATGCCTCACACCAGGCAAAACACACACACGGGCATGACTGCCTGTAGAGGGACCTATCTGCGCCAGCAAGCCTCCAGCCAACTCGAAAGCACACACACACACACACACACACACACACACACACACGCACGCCTCACACACCGGTGCCCCTTCCCCATGCCCATTCAGAACAGCCGCCCTGCCACAGGGAATGCTTCCACCACCCTGCTGTCCCTGTTGGCATCGCTGAATGCAGCAGAATGGTCACGGAGTGACTACTGTGGTGCCCCGGAGACTGGATTCAGCCATGAACCCCTTTGCCAAGGGCCTGGGGGAGAGGGAACAAGGTCGTCAGGCCTGGCCGTCCAGGTGGGCACCCCGGGTGGTGGCAGGACCCTAGCGCCCCCAGCTCCTGGCTACTCAGGATTGACAGCAGCATGTTCCGGGAGGAAGGGTACTCACCTGGCTCCACTGGGCTCTGTAAAGGAATAGCCGGCAGGGAGGACAGGGAGAGACCTCTGTGTGGATGAGCTCCCAGGCAGGGGACAGCGGCCGGACACCTGGGTCACAGACAGTGGCGTGTGCTCGCTCCTCTCCCGGCTGCCAAGGAGGCTGCTTCCATGCCCCGCAGCCAGCTCCTATCTGGCTGTGCAGCGCGTCGCTGCTGCCCCTGGTGAGACGATGTTCCCAGCCGAGCAGCGCAAGAAGAGAGGCAAGAGCAAAATCGAAGCAGCGTGGAGGAGAGAGAGGCAGAGAAGGGAGAAAGAACGAGAGAGCCAGACCGAATCTGGCTCCACCAATGGGATCAGTGGCTGCGCAGCGTCAGGTGATAATAAGCAGGCTGGGTCCCTGCTTGCTGGGCTGGTGGGAGGGGGAAAGGGCAGAGGGTCTCCCAGGGAGCTACACAGATGTCCTCGGGGACAGCAACGCACGGCGCCTTTCCCCCATTCTTCCAGGGCAAGCTGCCCTCAGAAGTCCTTCCAACACACCCCCTACTTGGAAATCTCTGACTTGAATGCAGCCCCTAAACTTTAGGATGCTGGGAGAGGGGCGGAGCTTAGCCAAGGGCTTGGGCCCTAAAGCAAAGCTTCTGATTGGGGGAAGGGGAGGGAGGCTGAAGAGGGGAAAGGTCCAGGTGGGGGTTGTGAACCCAGGGTCGTTGTCTTCAGTCCAGAGCCACTCCTTGGGGCCTTGTGGTGATCTGTGGTTCCATTTTCCTTACCTACTCTAGCGAGAGATGGCAGACCTGCTGCCCAGGGATCCCTGCGGGCCCGGTGAGAACCCTCTGGCAGCTTGGATGTCCGCAGGCAAAGGGGCTGGGAGAGAGGCTGGGGCACAGGGCAGGGTGCACTGGATGAGGAAGTGGGGGTGGGAGAACACACCAGGCTTTGAGTGTCTTCAGCGCAGCCCACTCTCTGCGCTCAAAGGAAGCCGGCCCTGGGCATCTTGGCGAGAGAATGTTATATCTGCTCTCATGGCAGCAGGAGGCTGTTCTGCCACGAAGAAGCAGACTCCGTGGAGGCCATCGGGAAGAACACCCAAGGAAACATGAATCCAGCAACAAGCAGGGACAAAGGGTTGCACAGTGGTGACAAGCGCAGGCTGACAGACGGATGTGCTGAGAATCCCTGCTCTACCACTGCCCAGCTGGGTGACCTTGGACAAGCCACTCAACCTCTCTTCATCTGTCAGATGGGATCACACAGGTTTATTTCATCATGGAATGAAACAATTAGGTAAATTGCCCAGCCCTGGGCCTGGCACATCTGAAATGCCAGTCACCTGTCAGAGCCATTCTCATTCCCATCCTTTTGACAGCTTTTGCCTGCAAGGAGCCTACAGTCTCTTAAGGGAGAGAAGATGGCCATTTAGAGGGCGAAATTAGAGAATGAGGAACATACAACAGAATTGCAGGGCGCAGACGCTGATGCAGATAAAGAACAGTGGGCAGCTCCAGGGCACACATAGGTGCGGGCCAGAGGAGGCTGTGGAAGCAGGAGTGTGGCTGGGGTGGGGGGGATTGGCACGGGGGCAGCAGACATGAGGCAGGCCCAGGGTGGTCTTGGAGAGCAGGAGAAGGTGTGAGCTGAGCCTAAGCGACACTCACCAGGAGGGACTCGAGGCGGCAGGCATCAGCAGTGAAAGTCAGAGGAAGTAACAGCGGCAGAAAGTGAGAGTTCACAGCATGCAAGGGCAAGCAGAAGCCAACCCTGCCTTAAACGGCTCTGAGAACCTCAGCGAGCCTGGCCAGGTCCTGAACCACAGAATGTGGGGTGATGCCTGGCACTGAGGCTCCCTTGGCCAAGTATAACTACGTCCCGCCCCCACGTACCCATGCCGAGCTGGTGAGCTCAGAAGAGATGTAACACATAACCTCCTGCCAATGACCAGCACATGACATCTGGACTCCAATTCTGTCCCAGGCTGATCATAGTGGCGCATGAGTATCCCAGCACTTTGGGAGGCCGAGGTGGATGGATAACCTGAGATCAGGGGATCAAGACCAGCCTGGCCAACATGGCAAAACCCCATCTCTATTAAAATACAAAAATTATCTGGGTGTGTTGGTGGGCACCTGTAATCCCAGCTACTTGGGAGGCTGAGACACAAGAATCACTTGAACCTGGGAGGCGGAGGTTGCAGTGAGCCGAGATTGTGCCACTGAACTCTAGCCTGGGCAATAGAGTGAGACTCTGCCTCAAAAAATAATAATAATAATTAAAAAATAATAAAATCCTGTCCCTAGAACCACACAGAGGGACAGTGCGAGGAAAAAGGCAGGTTCTCCATGACTTGGTTTCCCCTTCTACCAAAGGAAAACTAGTCCCAGCACCATCCCCGCCTCCCACCTTCCCTCGATGCCGTGAGGAGGCTGCAGGAGGTTGTGTGGCTCAAGCACTAGCAATAGCCATCTGGGGGCCCCTGTGTGGAGCTGCGCCCCGGCAACAGGTGAAGGCATAGCCCTTTAGGGGCTTTTGCCTCTTATGGCCTCAAAGGACTTCTCTACGGATCACAAGAGGAAACACGTGGTAAGAGCAAAGCAGAGGGTGCCAAGTATAACTCGCTCCCTATGAAACGTAACAACCGCCAAGATGCACTTCTGCTGCATTTTTATTTTTAATAACTTTTTATTACACAAGTCGCACACGATCATTGTCGAGAGATGAGCACATTTCATTTTAAAATTTAAGAGGGAATTAAAATCATTTTCCCACAATGCAGAAATATACTTTGAATACATGGATGGAATTTGTTTTTTTAATTATTATTATTATTTTTTTTTGAAGAAAGGGTCTTTCTCTATCACCCAGGCTGGAGTGCAGTGGTGCAAACTCAGCTCACTGCAACCTCTACCTCCTGGCTTAAGCAATCCTCCCACCTCAGCACCTTGAGTAGCTGGGACTATAGGTGCACACACCACACACAGCTATTTTTTTTTTAATTTTTTTTTGTGGAGATGGGGTTTCCCTGTGTTGCCTAGGCTGGTCTCAAACTCCTAAATTCAAGCAATCCACCCACCTTGGCCTTCCGAAGTAGCTGGGATTACACAGGTGGGAGCCAGCACACCCAGCCAATATTCGTATAGAATTTACTAACAAAAATAGAATGAAATGAAAGAATATTGTTTTATAACCTGCTTTTGTCACTTACCAATGTGTTTTCTGTTCATCACAGTCCTTTTTTTATTATTTCTTTCTTTCTTTATTTTGAGACAGGGTCCTGCTCTGTCATTCTGTCTCCCAGAACCTGGGAGGTGGAGGTTACAGTGAACCAAGATCAGGCCACTGTACTCCAACCTGGGCAACAGGATGAGACTCCAACATAATTTTTTTTTTTTTTTTTTTTTTTTTGGTACAGATAGGCTCTCACTATGTTGGTCAGGCTGGTCTCCAACTCCTGGGCTCAAGTGATCCTCCTGCTTTGGCCTCTCAAAGTTCTAGGATTACAGGTGTGCGCCACCATGCCCAGCTGATCAATTCTATTTTAAAAAGGTGGAGGGTGGGAAAGGAGACTCAGGCCAGAATTAGTAAAACTAGTTAGTATTCCAATTCAGTACCAAGGCCAGATTCTTCGTGGTAGAAAGATGCATAGCAAATATAGAGTCTGATGTAACAGACTGAGACTGTAAGTAAAACATATTTGCAGTCTTAATATTACTTATGCACTTTATAGACTGAAAATGCTTATGTGTATTTCCCCATGGCTGGACTCAGTGTGGGGATCCTGTGAGCCAATGAATGTGCACATATCCAGGTAGTCCATGGAGACCACCTTGGTCCTTTCCATGTGTTCACAATGACAAGAGTGGGTCATGAGTATTTATAAGAACTACATGGATTTCTCAATGTTCATTTCCTTTTCTTTTTGAAAGTATGTTTAGATATCCCACAACCTTGTCTGGTCACCTATTTTAATGAAGAGCATTAACCTGATTCTAAAAACATGTACTAAACTAAACAATAAGTATGTTATGGCCTGGTGCGGTGGCTCATACCTGGCATCTTAGGTGATTAGGAGTCTGAAGGGGGCGGATCACTTGAACCCAGGAGTTTGAGACCAGCCTGGGCAACATGGTGAAACCCTGTCTTCACAAAAAAAAAAGTACAAAAATTAGCTGGGCATGGTGGCCTGTGCCTGTAGTCCCAACTGCTTTGAAGGCTGAGGCAGGAGGATTGCTTGAGCCCAGGATTTGGAGGCTGCTGTGGGCCTTGATCATACCACTTTGCTCCAGTCTGGGTGACAAAGTGAGACCCTGTCTCAAAAATATATGTATTTTAGATTTTGTAGAAAATGCAAATATTTAACCACTTTAAGACATGGGAAAATGCTGAATTATATTGAAGGACTCAGACAAACTACAGAAGAGACACTGAGAGAATGTTGGAGGGACAGAAGAAACTTCAAGGGACAAAGATCAAGAACAATGATGAAAGAGAATCGTAAGTAGAAGGACTCATATAGAATGGCAGTATTGGAGCAGTCAGTAAGTTATACCCAAAGTGAAAGAATATGATGTAGAAAATATGGAACACCAGTGCACACTGCTTGACAAGGTACCAAGACAAGGTGGGGCATGGTGGCTCATGCCTACAATCCTAGCACTTAGGGAGGCTGAGGCAGGCAGATTGTCCGAGATCAGGAGTTCTAGACCAGACTGTTCGACGTGGCAAAACCCTATCTCTACTAAAAATACAAAAATTAGCCAGACATGGTGGTGCACATCTGTAGTCCCAGCTACTCAGGAGGCTCAGGCAGGAGAATCGCTTGGGTCTGGGAGGAGGTGGTTACAGTGAGCTGAGATCTCACCACTGCACTCAAGCCTGAGTGATGGAGTGAGACTATCTTAAAAAAAAAAGATACCAGGACAAGAGTGTGACATACTGAATAGAAACGATCACCAGGATGAAAAGCCTTCCTTCCATGCACCCAAAACTTGCCACACTTACTCTATTAAGAGTCACTTACAGAAGAACCTATAGAGGAGACATGAAAATACAACTCACAGATGGCTTTGACATCAACGGTGCCAAAATTCAGTTACCTTCTGGAAACAATTTACTCTTATTTTTCTAATGCACGTCCTGATTTTCTAGTCGATCTCATCACAAATTGGAATTTATTCATCCACTTAAAAAAAATTCACTAGGTGCTTATCTATGTATCAGGCACTGATTCAGACAATGAGGATCCTGCAGTTGTGGGCAGGGAAAGGAGGACCAAAAAACAAAATCCCTGCTCTCATGGGGCTGACGTTCTGGTGAGGGAAAGACAGATAATTAAATGGGTAAGTCAGTAAGTAAACAAACGTTATAGTCTGTTGGGTGGTGATAAATGCTTTAGAGAAAAATAAGTCAGTAAGTGGAGATAGGAAACGTCGTGGGGAAGTGCGGAGTTATGATCTTAAATTGAGCCCTCAAAGAAGGACTCTTTGAAAAGGTGACTTTGAGATTAAACAAAGCAACAACAACAACAACAACAACCCACACCTGATTAAAGGGTGGGCCGGAGCCGTGCAGA